GATCAGATAGATATACCCTTCTGTGGAAAGAGCCAAGATGCCCCACAACTGATGAATGAATAAAGAAAATGTGGCATGTGTATACAATGGCATTTTATTCAGTCATAAAGACGAACAAAATGTTGTCATTTGCAGGTAAATGGATGGAACTGAAGAACATCATCTTAAGTGAAGTTAGTCAGGTTCAGAAAGCTAAAGGCCGCATGTTTTCTCTCAAATGTGGAATATAGATCAAATACAAATATAAGCATTATTATGAAAAACAGGTCACCCTAAGGGAAGGTCACAAACAGGAGAGGGAGGGTAAAAGAAGGAAGTTAAGAAGGTGAATATGGTTAATGTACTTTCTTTACAAGAATGAATACAGAATTTTAAAACCTGTTGATCACCATAAGAAGGGGACTAAGGTATAAAGAAGAAACAATGGAGGGGATGAGTCAATTTGAGTTATTATATATATATAATACACACACACACACACATGAAAAACTCAAACTCTTTTATAACCTTAAACAAACAAAAATGTCTTTTTTTTTTTTTTTAAAAATGGAGAATAGTAAGGTAAAACAGGTCCTTTCTGGGGGCTGGCACCAGAAGGAAGCAGGAGGATTTAAGAAAAGGGTGCAAGAGGGTGAATATGGTGGTAATATTATGTACTGCTGTATGAAAACAGAAAAATGAGACCTGCTGAAACTGTTCCAGGATGGGGCAGAGGGGGATAAAGCAGAATGAGGCAGGGGGTGAATTCAACCATAGTTTATTCTAATAACTTTTGTAAATGTCACTATGTACCCCCATACAATAAAAAATGAATAAATATGACTTAACACCCCCCAAAGTCACAAGGCATTGCAAAGGACACAAGAAAGTATTACCTGTAATGGAAAGAAATTTATCAATAAGCAAGAATTCAAGAGGACAGAGATAATATAAAAATATTAAAAACTGCTGTCATATTCCTTTTTTGTTTTTGGTAGCACAGAACCTTGCTCTTGCTAAGCAAGAGTTCTACCACTTTGAACCATGCCTCCAGCCCTTTTTGTTCAATTATTTTTCAGATAGGGTCCCACGATTTTTGCCAGGGTCAGTCTCATACCGGGATCCTCCTACCTATGTTTCCCACATAGCTGGGATTACAGGTGTGATCCATCACATCGGCCGCAACTGTAACTATATTCTGTATACTCAAGAAGGCAGAGAAGAGATGAAACACATTAAATAGAAAAATGCAAGAAATAAGAAAAATAGAACTACTGAGGATAAAAAGTGTCTAATATGAAAAATAAAGTGGATGGGCTTATTAGCAACTGCTGCAAAAGAAAAAAAATCAATAAACTTGATGACATGACAGTACAAAATACACAAAGTGAAATACATAGGTGAAAAACAATGAAAAGAAAAAGAAAAAACAGAACTAAGCACCACAAAGCTGCAAGATAACTTCAAACAGCCTTATATAAACATACTTGAAGTCCCACAAAAAAGAGGTGAGAAGGAAACAAATATTTGAAGTGATAATGGCCAAAATGTCTCCAAATTCCATGAAAACTATAAACTCACAGATCCACAAAGCAGAAGCTCAACAAATTCCAAGCACAAGGAAAATGGAGAGGAAAATACCAAAGCACATCATAATTAAATTGCCTAAGACTGTAAAATTAGTTGAAATGGGGGCGGGGGTAGGGAAGGGGAAGATTAGCACAGAGGACCCTGAAATAAAAATCTTTAGTCTTGAGAGATAACAGTCTTGTCCACTTAGAATTCCAGGTATCATTTTTAGGAATGAATGCACAATAAGACTATTTGGACATACAAAAGATAAAAAGAATTTTCAGCGGCAGACCTGTATTGTCATAAATGTGGAAGTATTTCAGGCAGAAGGTAAACGATACCACACAGAGACCTGAAACCACATCAAGGAATGAAGTGCATAGGAAATATAAAGATAAGGGTTAAAATAAGCCTTTAACATTCTTAAATCTTTTTGAAAGACTGGTTTCCAAATGATGTAACGGAGACTACATTTATTCTTCCATTGAAACAACAATACAAATGAGGTAAATGATGCTTAATTTTTTGAAGTACTAGATATCAGGCAATGAAAGACATTGACCTGAGAGAGATGGGAAATACCGTGATCCTTATGAACTTGATCACCCTAGGTGATTGCTTTGAGAGTCCCCATTCACACCGCAGGAGAGGAAATCCGCAAAAGCCTGGTGGGCTCCCTGAGGTGACAGCAGGGCTGAATCTGAGCAAATCAAGTCTGCTGGAGTTTGCATGGCAGACTGCAAGAGAAAAGTGCTACCTAGAGAGAGCGAGAGATGGTCATTCTGAGTATTCAGCAGAGTAACCACCAGAAAAGACAGACCAAAAATATTAGAAGGAACCTGCTGGAATGTTTGGATCTGGAATGTTCCCCAAAGGCCCATGTGTTACAGGCTTGGTCTCCACCTTGGCACTACTGGGAGGGGATAAAATTTTCAGGAGGTGGGGTCTAGTGAGGTCTTTAGGTCACTGAGGGGCATGAACATGAAAAGAATAGCTGGACCCCAGCCCCTTTTTTTTCTTCCACCTCCCAGAATGAAGTGGGCTCCTTTACTCTGCCATGTACTCCCACCATAAGCTGCCTCACCATGGGCCTAAAAGCAATGGGGGCCAACCAGTCACAAACTGGAACCTCCCAATGTGTGAGCTAAAATAACCCCTTGGTTTTATATAAGTTTCTTATCTCAGGTACTTGTTATATAGTAATGGAAAGCTGACTAACAAAGAAATATGAAAAATTATAACAAGATACATCATAATTAGATTACTCAAATCAGTGATAAACAGAAACTATTAAAAACAACATGAATAAAAATGGTAAGAACAAAGATAAAAATGACAGATTTATCATCTGAAATAATTTCAAGCAAGAAGAGAACAGAACATTTTAAAAACACTGAAAGAAGAAATATTAATCCAAATTTTACGGCTAGTGAAAGTATCTTTCAAAAACAAATGCAAACCATAGACTATCAGATATATAAAAGAAGATTTTCACAAGAAAGGCTGAAGGATGTCCTTCAGGCCAAATGAAAATGATACCAGAGATATAGAGAAATACTATACAAAATGCTATGAAGAACATATATCAGAAAATCTGAGCACCAGAAATGTAACTACATAATTTTTCTCATTAAATCTCTTCAGAATGACACGGTTTAAATAAGTTAATAACAATATGTAACAAGGTGGATGGCAACTACCACTTACATTTATAAATAAAATGGCAACAACAGAAAAAAGGCCAGAATAAATGCCCCTTCATACTTAAGGGCATGGTATTACTTGAAAGTAGATTGTGGTAGGGTAAAAGTACAGTATGAAGAAATCTACAGGACCAGAGGGTTCCACTGAAAAAGTTTAGATATTTAAAGAAAACTAATACCAACCTACACAATTTCTCTAGAAAACAGAAGAAAATACTGCCAATTCATTTTACAAAGCCAGTGAATACAAAGCTTGATACAAAACTAGCATAAAACCCCCAAACTGGATTAGCTGGGCGTGGTGATGCACACTAGTAATATCAGTACCTGGTAGGCTAAGGCAGGAGGATTATGAGTTCAAGGCTAGCCTGGGCTACATATTGAGACCCTGTCTCAACAAACAAACAAAACCCTCCAAACTACAGGCTGATGGATACAGACAAAAACATCTTTAACAAAATATTAGTGAATACAATTCAGCATTTAGTGGACAATGGAATTGCAATATAACCAAAGAAGTTCATTCCAGGAGTGAAAAGCTAGTTTGAAACTTCAAAATTTATCAGTACAGCATCTGGCTAAAGAAAAAAAAATCACAGTTTATAATCAATTGTTGCTGAAAAATTATTTGACAAAATTCAATAACCATTCATAATTTAAAAAAAAAATCTCCAAACTAGGAACAGAAAGAAACTCCATTAATTTAATAAAACAAAAAAATCTACAGAAAGACTGCAGTGAATATCATGTTCAATGGCGGAGGGTGAGTGGCCCCAGTTGTTTTGTTTTTATTCTGCTTTTGAGATAGGGTCTCACCATTAACTTTGCCCAGGCTGGCTTTGAACTGTTGGGAGCCATGACACACAATCTGACAAGGTTGTTGCAGCTTAGCAGCATTCCAACAAGGTCAGAATCTGCAGGTGCACCATGACTCTATCATGGTGGGAAGGAATGCTAAATGGTTTCCCCTGACTGAAAAGAAGTTAATACTTAATTAAGGACACTGGCAGTAAGAATGCAGGGTGGCCAAAACAGAAAGGTTGTAACTAGGTCAGAGTGCTTTTGATGTTTAAGTCTCTTCCTCTTTTGTATAAAGTTTGCTGAGAAAAATAAAAATTTGCCAGTTGGTCACCAGCCTTTTGGTCCTCTTGTTATGTGTTTTGTCTGTTCATTCCTTCCCCGAGCCCGTTCAGGTCAAGGACCTCTGTGATCTTGGCACTGAACTAATGATCCTCCTGTCTCCACCTCCTAAGTAGCTGGGATTAAATGCACTGGCCACCATGCCTGACTTTATTTTGGTGGTACTGAGATTTGAACTCAGAGCCTTTAGTTTGCTAGCCACATGCTCTACCACTTGAGGTATGTCCTTGGTGGTTTTCTTTTTGCTTTGCTTTATTTTTCCACTAGGATCACATGTTGTTGCTCAAGACTAGCCTCAGACTGCAGTTCTACTTCTGCCTCCCGCTTAGATGACACCACACTGTTTGTTTTTTGAGATACCGTCTTTTTTTTTTCCTGAGCTGCCCTTGAACTGATTCCCTGATCTGTACCTCCTACACATTGGGAATTACAGCCAAGTACCACCACGCCTGACTTACACCTGGTTTTAGCATACTTCATTTTTTGTTTAAATGTTTAAATACTCGAAAGTTCTCCAAATATTTATAAAAATGTATATGAAAAATAATACACATGTTGGGCTAAATTATTCTGCTAAGCATTTCAATAATTACATGAGTCAGTAAATTAATATTTTATTTATCATTTTAATTTGACAGTAAAAATCACTTTCAACAATACATTACATGTGTATCAACAAATGAATCATGATTCATTCACTTTGCTTTCTCATTCTTCTGGTAGCTTTGTAAGAATCCATGTCTTCAGTTTTTCTAGCTCAGTTTTGCTCAGCTCATGGTAAACATCTGGAAGACTATGAAACCTTGTGCTCACTCCCAGAAATTTTAATGTTGAGTTTGTCTCTTCCCCCCAGGAATGAAGAACTAATTCATCAGCAGTGCCATGGCACTGAAACAACTCTGGAAGTACACCATCACTTTTCTGAAGAGCCTGCAGAAAAAGATACAAAAAAATGGAAAGGTTAAGAAATTGCAATTAAGAACATCATTCTTTGAAATCAAAGAAAAGAGAAATTACAGTTTTACCAAAGCTTCAATAACTAAAGGGGAGAAAGAGGGTAAGTGGTACAGAGTGAGGGACACACTGCTGGGCAAACCTGGGGCCTTGTTACTCACTGGGTTCTGGCACCACAGCTGGGGTTGTGTGGGCCCTGTATTTGCTCTACAGAGGAATCTTTCAAATGTGGCTAAGGCACTTCCTGAAAGAAAAGAGTGACTTGGAAAGACAAAACTCTTCACGTGCAGTAGAAGAGAAAGACAGAGCTAAGGAACAATCAAGGGGAAATTTTTACTCTAGTTCCCATCTCTAGATTTATTTTATCACTTCTACTCTGGTAATTAAGCTGTAACACTACAATGTGTCATATTCATAAATGAGGATACTGCTGTAACATAAGTATCAACTTTATAATTGACTTTTATTTGGGTATGCTCATGACATGATACGCAAAGCTGGATGCGGTCATCTGTATTTTTAATTTGTAGAGAGGATACATATGCACTAGACATAAATGTACACACATATTAATTTTGTCCTCTTTAACACTATTCTTTACACAGGGTACTTCCTGAACATTAGTGACCAGCTAAAGTTCTTCAATATGACTCATCTGATCATTAATTCCAAGGGATGCTCAATTTACATTAACTGTACTTTCCTTTTTATTGCTTAATTTTCTGCTTATTTTAGTTTCAGTGTGCCCATGTTTCATGTGACTTTTTTAGTTCTGTGTTATAAGTCTAGAACTTACCTGGTAAACAGCAGATGCTTTATTCAGAAAACTTGAAAGAGCAAATACTCCTGCCACATCTCTATGTTTTCTGTATGCTAAATGCATCGCCATGCATCCTCCCATCGAAAATCCTCCTAAAGTAAAAAATGTGCTTAAACAGAAGCAGAGAATATATGGAGTAAAGTCACAACAATAGGCCTATGCTAGTCTTCCACAAATATTTAAATAACATTTGGGGACCTTAGGAGGGTGAATATGGTCAATAAACTTTATATACTCATTTGAAAGTAAAACAATGAAACCTTTGAAATTTTTTTAAGTAGGGGGGGATGAGGGAGAATGATGTAAGCATATATGGAAATGTTACAATGAAACACAATTAATATATGCTAATAAAAATGTTGAATGAAAAATATACTCAGGGACCTTTAGAGAGACATGGTGTTAAAAAGAGTTTCAGTCTACTTAGGTCACATGGAGTAAGACTTGCTGGGAGTAAACAGTGCTGTTCCATCCATGATGTCACTGGTTAAGAGATCTGTGCTATAAAAGGAGCTGAACTTGAACAAAGAAATCACATCCATCAAGAAAAATATTCATCATACAAAATATGAGTCACAATGTAAGTGTTATTTATTTAGAAACATAAGAGGTATGGGATCTGGGGGGAAGTGTGAAAGTGTGATTGAAAAGAAACGAGAAACTCACAGACAATGATATTGGTGTGGGGAGTAATTAAAGCTGTAACCGGCATTCAACAGTTTTTCTGGAACAAGGAAATTTAAAAAAAAATTTTTTGGTGGGACTGGAGTTTGAACTCAGGGCTTTGTGCTCGCAAAGCAGGTATTCTACCACTTGAGCCACACCTCTAGTGCATTTTGCTCTGGTTAGGTTGGAGATGGGTCTCACAAACTATTTGCTGGGGCTAGCCTCAAACCACTATCCTCCCAATTTCAGTCTCCCAAGTAGCTAGGATTATAGGTGTGAGCCACTGATGCCCAGCAAGGCAATGTTCTTTTACAGAAGGAATCATAACACATTACACTAGGAACTCTGCCTAGCATTGAATCACTTGGTAGAATTTATTAAGTAGATCTTTATTAAACATAAAACTCAATCAGACATTTTACACACAGCCATTTCTGTTTAGGTGTCTAGGACATAAAGATTTAACATTCATTACAAAATAATCATCCTCTATGCTTTGAAGTGCCTGGCCACAGAAGGAGCTTAGTAAATATTCACTGGATAAATGGAGTCATTGATAATTGGAGTTTGAAAAAATATTTCTGCAGTGAGACAAAGTTATTATCAGGAAATGCAACTTTTCTGTGATTTAATCTGACATAAAAGAAAGCTTAGAAAATCTGGGAATGAATGATTAGTATGCTCCAGGCCAATCATTCTTAGTCAGGCTTCTTAAAAATAAAGATTGTAGACTCAATCCCAAACCCACTTACAGCATCCCATTAGTTATACTGAAGTTTTAAAAGCTCTTATGCATAAACTGGGTGTTTGAGAATCACAGCTGTGTGGCAAAAAAATTCAAAATTAAGTACTTTGGGTAAGAACAAAAAGTGAAAACATGGTCATGATTTACAAGGAATCCATATGCTAAAGACACTAAGGCGGAGAAATTCGTTTGTGCCAAATGGAGCTCGTGAATATTTGAAATATCATTAATTAGACCAAAAAACTCAAAATTTTAATTAATTTTTAACTAGTTTAAATTTGAATTTAAGGAACCACATGTAACTTAGTGGCTACTGTACTGAATTATGAAGTTCTAGAGCACATAAACTATACCAGTGACTGAAAAATAGTTTCAAATCCCATCAATTCAGTTAAAATAAATATTTCATGAAAGATATTTTCTTTGGCAGTACTGAAGTTTAAACTCAGGGTCTAGTGCTCAAGTGCCCTATCTCTTGATTTGCGCCCATAGACCAGTTTTGTTTTTAGTTATTTTTCAGATAGCATCCCATGCTCTTTGTCTGGGTTAGCCTAAGACTATGATCCTTCCATCTATGCCTCCTGCAAGGATGGGTTTTCAGACTTGTACCTCTCTGCCTGGCTTGTTTATTGAGATGTGGTTTCCATGACATTTTGCACAAGCTGGCCTCAAACTGCGATCCTCCCAAATAGCTGGGGCTATAGGTGTGCCCAGTCATAAAAAGATAATTTTGCAGCTAAGATAAAGATAATTAAAAGATTATAATTAAAATAGACTAGCAGGCAAAATATATTTTAAATGATTTCAAAACCATACTTATCAAGAAAATATTGCTTATGAAATACCTCTGACACTTCATTTTTATTGACTAGGGAACCTAATCACTCTATGTAGTTTCAGAGTCCCTTGATAGGATAAGCTAAGAAAAAGAAGACATTCTGGGAACACAAAACAATACATCCTGCAGACATTTAACCTCAAGTTTGATTCTCACACGCTACAATGAAGAAAAATGTACTTACTGAGATCTTACTATTTTTAAGAGTTAAGCCCCTGGCCCATTTGCAATCTTGTGAGGTAATCCGCAATTCCTCACTACCTGTCTTTAGCATGGGACACTACTCTCTGAAAAGGAACTTTGTGTATTCCCCTAAAAGAAGAAAATTTAACACAAAGGAGTAGTCATTTGATTCAATTTTCCACTTAAGAGTCTGACATCTAATATATAGTACACTGTTCAATAAGCAAATAGAAAATAATAAACTCATTGTAGGCAATGGGTATAATGGATATTTATAGTTACTGGTGAAGTATTTAAAATGTCAAGAGTCAACATTTCAACATACACTTAAGATTAACAAGCTGAATAAAACATGTTAAAAATAATAAACTTGGCTTTATGAACTCTTTATATAAAATAAAACAGAAACAATCTATAAAAAAAAGCTATACTAGAAAATTAAGATACTATACCTGAGAGCAAAATTCTTAAAAATACAAAGTTTCTGCCTAGCAAGTGGGAGGCCCTGAGTTCAAACTCAAACACTGCCCAAAAAACCTTCAAAACCCCACAAAGTTTGCTGTCAAGTATGAAGTGAACGGTATTTTTAAAATGTAGTAAAATCTATCACCAACACAAATTTTAACAGCTCTTCCACTTCATTTATGTAGTATAATTATTTTTTCAGACCCATGTGTGATGAACTCTCAAAGATATAGCAATATACAAATTATGCTTACCATATTTATTTGTGCATTTTCTATCATATGAATTTACAGGATAAATAAAGTATTTATCTTCCTCTGTGGAAAACTATTAGAACAACAATTCTAGTCCAGAAAATTACTGTTAAGGAAACATAAGTTGTCTAATTAACTGAAGCATATGTATGTTTCAAGAGTGTTGTTTCTGAGTTCTAGCTCCCAGCGGGGCTTTGGAGGTTCAAAAATGCAGCCTGGATATTTTGATGCAAGACTTCATCTTGGGAATTCCAACTTGTTCCTTCATTTTATTTTTATTTGAAGTATTTTTATAAAATTAATATATTAATATATCCCACTCTATAGAGTGATTCCTTCACAGAAATACAAATAAAAAAGAAAATGAATCATCTCAAGTCTTACAACTTATGTATAATTTTAATGTTTTTTTAAAATTCATTTTAACAGTTCAACTCACTCTATACATATAACTTTACATCTTGCTTTTTCTTTCATGTAATACTGATTTTGAGTCTTTCCACAAAATTACAAAAACTTAACATCTACACTTTCAAACAGAACACATGCCAGGTGCCTTCCATGTATGTGTATACATTGCATTTAATAGTTACATAATGTACAATTTTATGGACAGACCATAATTCGTTGTAACTTACTCAAGAATGGTCCCAGAAGCACTTTCTCCTCCCCACCTCAAAATTGTGACCATGTGTTCATATTCTCAAAATTCTGATAATATCCTCATGTCATTGTCTCATTCTATACATCCTAGATCGAAATTATACCTAAATAATATCAATATTTTCTCTTAACAAGTTATCACCACCTAGTGGCCAAAAAAAGACTCTGGTCATGGTATAAAGTTCTTGACTAAATCAAGGGACTTGGGTTCTAGTCTCACTCTCTCTGAATTTTAGTTTCTTCATTTTTGGAATGAGAATAATTATATCCAATTTTGCCTGTTGCAGGACTCAAGAAAGCAACTATATTTTAAAAATTTTTATAATTTCAATACTATCTAAACATAAAACACATGTATAATGCCAATTTAAAAACTGTTAAGTGCAATATAAATGTCAATTAATTTAAGAGTATTACTTTCTAAACACAACAGTGCACAAGGGAAAACTTACACAACTTGCACCATTTTAATTTCTCAAATTATACAAAAACATGCTGGAAGGAAATGAAGTTTCAAATCAGACTTTCACAGAGTGAGAGAATGTACTGACTATAAAATATGCTTGTATTTTGCACACCAGAGGCTTTCAGTATGTTAAGAAAGGCAGAAGACAGGACAATCTAATACTATTAATAATTTTCTCATAATGCAGGATTTGAATTCTGGATATGCTAATAACTATACTGTCATCTTTCAGAAAGAACTCTTACAAATTACTAATTCATTTTTAGTACTTCTCAGTATTGCATAATATCTCGATAGAACCATGGGAGATACAAATACAAGAAAATGAATAAGCACAAAATGAACATTTTCCTATACTCCTAATGAGCAGAGTGAGGATCCATGAACATCTCACCTCCTATACATCAGATCTGGGATTGGCAGTGAAACTTTTGTCCCGTTTTTCCTTTCTTAACAAGAGTTTGTTAATTTTTTCTATTAAGAAAGCAATATGTATCTTTGCACAAAACTTAGAAAGCAAAGAATTTTTCACAGCTAAACCCCAGTCTACTATAACTTTCTTAACTATAATTTTACTCCTATTTCTCAAAGAATCCAATGCACCCTTTGCTTTGTTCCTTTTTTTTTTTTTTCCGTACTGGGGTTTTAACTCAGGGCCTACACCTTGAGCCACTCCACCAGGCCTATTTTTGTGAAGGGTTTTTTAAGATAGGGTCTCCTGAACTATTTGCCTGGGCTGGCTTCGAACCACAATCCTCCTGCTCTCTGCTCCTGAATGCTAGGATTACAGGCATGAGCCACCGGTGCCTGGC